GCGCGTCGCCTCCCGCTCGCGGAGGAGGAGGTGGCGGAGGAGGAGGAGGAGGAGGCGCCGCCTTCCCCGCGCCGCGCGCCCTCGCCGTTGTCTGCGCTTTGCTCTGGACCAGTTTGGGGAAGTTGACGGGGCCCTGCGTCGCCCAGATGTGCGACCTCATTGAGCCGCAGCCGGCCGAGAAGATCGGCAAGATGAAGAAGTTGCGGAGAACTTTGTCGGAGAGTTTCAGCCGCATCGGTGAGTGGCGCGCTGCCCCCGGCGCCCGCTCCCTCGGCCCCGCGCTCCGGGCACTGGTGGTGCCGCGGCCACCGGGGCTGGCGTGGGCTGCGCTGCGCTGCGCTGCGCGCGGAGGGTGGAGGCGACAGTGTCCCGAACTGGGGGTGGGCGACGGCGGAAAGGAGACACGGACACCCCTCGCTCTCAGCATCCGGGGGTTCGTTTGTGGATGTTTTTCACCGTGCGGTTTGGGTTCCCTCTCCTTGCCATTGGCGCTCCGGCTTTCGCGCCTGAGAGGGAGCGATGAGGGGACGCCCCAGATCCGACTGTGCTCGGGGCTGGGCGGCCACCTCGGTCACTTGTTATTTATTATTATTATTATTTTGCGCGCAGGCTTTGGTCTTGGGTGTTTAGTCAGTAATTTAGCTTTGAGAATTGTTGAAACGTTGAGTTGCGCCTCGGTATTGTTCAACACATCCAACCTGAGGAGAAGTGGGACATACACCTTGGGACCTTTTGTTCCGTACTTCGGGTCCTCGAAAACGAGATTCGAGTATTCTGTCCTGAGGGCTCGATCTAGTGGTGGCTGCAGGGAGACGCGTGCTGGGAACTTGTCTGGGCATTTAGGAATAAGTCCACCGAACTTTGACCCTTAGAGCTCGGGTGCTATTGTCTTTCAGCCGGCCAGCCAAATGACCAACAAAAAAAAAAAACGACCTAGAAATCTTTAGGAACATTTAAGAAGAAATCTATGGCACACACTGTAGCGGGGTGACAACAGTGTGTCACGTGGGATGATCTTGTTAGATTACTCGGGTTGGTCAGAGCAGACCCCTTTGAACCTTTAGATGGTAGTCACCTCTAACATCATAATATTTATTTATGCAGGTAACTGTTCTCAGCAAGAAAATCTTCCTGACACTAAAAATAACCCCTGGAGTCCTTTTTGAAGGCTTCTAGCCTTTGTTTCACTTGTTTAACCTGTCATACATGTTAATAAAGGTGTTAATGGAAATAGAGCAGAATGGTGCTTAATTCCTTAAAGCTGCATGAGTATTTTAGTTTTTTACATCCAGTCATTAAAAAGTAATTAGTGTATCATAGAATATGCAAACTTTCTTAGAGTAAGAGAAGAAGTAGTCAATATTTAGTCTAACTTTTAAACATAAAATTTCATATTGGTATGCAAATTCTCCAAGGTGACTGGAATCCATATTTAGACCTATTTAGTTTGATTTACTGTTGGGTAGTTGCAGTCTTACCCTTAGGAGTTTGAGATACATGTGAAGAGTCCCTATACTCAGAAGAAGTTTGTAGCTAAAAGGAGTGTAAGCTAGGTTTTGAGCTTGTGTGCATTATTAAGGAGGGTGTTTCAGTCGGAGACCCAAACCTTGGCAGAGGTGGGCTCAGGAGTCCATTAAGCCCTGTTCTAAAACACATTAACTGTATATTTACTAATGCTAATGACTCTGTTGGAGCCCTTCCAGTTCTGTGTTAAATAATTCATTGCAATTGAATCTCAGTAAGAAACCAAGGATGATGTTATAAAATTTTCTTATGTTTAAATAATTTCAAGGTTTTGATCGACAATCAGTAAAATTTGGATTAACTGCAATGTTGGCATGTAGGATATTATAGTTAATTGGATTTCCTAGCTTACTGAGATTTAGTAATGTGAAACTCCTTTTGATTCCAGCTCTTGTTAAAATGTCTTCTAAGATCTAAGAGATTTTACTTGCTCCCATTAGGGGACAGTATAGTGAACTTTACTGAGAAGTAGAATTACAGCAAAATGAATCTTTACATATTTTCCTAATGTTTTCTATTTTATTTGCAAAATCAAAAAGCAGTTTATTAAGGATTTTTAAGGTTCCAAAGGCTGTTGAAATGAGATGTACTCTGGGGTTTCTTAGTGCATAGATTAAGGGGGCGGGCTACGTGTCAGATGGACTGGGGGTTTCCCTTACTTCCACTTGTAGCTGAGCCACATACATATACAGGTCTCTCAACTTCTGGATTTCAAATTTTCACCTTTTTATTGGCTCTTAGTGAAATAATGCATGTGACATCCTATGCGGTATGTAATAAAGACTCAGGAAACATTCATAATATGTTGTTATGAGTACTAGTGATTGCATCATAATGATATCATTGCTGTAAGTAGAAAGCAAGAGAAGGGACAGTCAAGTGGCCACTGACTTCACAGCTGAAAGAAGGGTGGGTTTTGGAGATGACTTTTGATATGAACATAGTGATGTAAATTGCTCTTTTAGTATGATTTAAAAGTATAGCTTGTTATGTGGTGAAGTAGAGTCATTGTTTAAACTATAAGGAATTAGTAACATTTATCTACAGAAAATAAACATACCTTTTGAAAGTATGTGATAATCCAGCCACTATTTCTGACTATATAGACTGAGTGCTAATGTTTCATTTATTCACACATGAAAGATTATGCCAAATTTGTCATTTCACACCTGAAATACCACTGACCTGAAATTATTAAGGATTTAATAAAGTACATTAACTTGTAAGCGTTAGTGCTTATATCTATCAGGGAATAATTGTAATGTTGCTCAGGTTCTTTTGTGAGATGGGTGTAATTGAATTTCAAAGTCATGCTTTGATTTCAGTAGTGTTTATGGTTTTCTACTAAATAGTGTCAATGTGGCCTCTTATTTAAGAGTTCCTATAGTTATTGAAGTTTCAGGTATTTTTTTTAATTTGATTTGGCATAATCAAAGACAAATGGGGATTTATCTTTGCAAAAGAGTTTATATCAAAATCCATTTCTTCTCTACTTACTTCCTTTTGAGTGATAGCTTAGGAGAAGAAATGCTTTCTGTAACAGCGGGTATAAGATTAAGGTCAAACAGACATTGTTTCATTTTCAATTAAAATGCCTTTCTTTATACTTACTTGGATTATCTCCTAAAGGAATGAAATTCATATTCTGGTATTTGAGATGAATTCCATGTGTACCATTTCTTTGAAAGATGTGGCTTATGAGAGAAAGGAATAAAGGACAGAACTGTGGTTACTTTGAATTTTGGGGTTACCTTGTGTTGTCAGTGTGTAATTGTAGAATCCAGTTGTCTTTTGACAAACCCATCCTGTCAGAAAAGAGAAATGTAAGGTTAAAGGTTCACTCACAAAATTTAGCTATTGTATTTATCTTCTCTCAGTGTGAGTTCCAAAGATCTTAAACTTCGTGGGATGGAATTTATATTTATGATCCTTTCAAGAGAGTAGTATATGGTTTTTGTGTGCCAAAAGTTTAATTTAGTTTTCACAATCTAAGATGCTATCTTTTTGCTATTGAGGTAGACCTCATTAATTCAGAAATAATTATTGAGTACCTCTTATGTGTTAGATTTTGCTGGCACTCAGATTCTGTGACCATTGTTACCGGTCCATCCACAAGGACTCTTAAGAGAAGACAGATCAATGAATGGACATTGACAATATATAGTGACAAATCAATATTATGAAGAATAGCATAAATTGCCATTGGAGAACGTAGGAGAGGTGCCACTTTAGTCTTGGTGAGATCATGGAAAGCTTTCTAGAAGAAGTAATGTCTGAGTAGAGAACTGAGTAGAATATCTGATATTCTTAAGTGGCTTAACATATGCTCCTTTGATTCTCTTAGAGTTATATTGGGAATGCTGAGATAAATGTTGCATTCTTTCAAATAAAAAATAATGTTAGTTCCAACTGCTTAAAAAAAATATTAGTTCCTTTGTAAGTCCCCCAAATGTTATATGCTTGTTATTCCACAATTATAACTGTGATCTTACATTTACATGAATGATTAATGATAATTAGGAATATCATCACCAGTGAGATGTATGCTGTTTAGGTCAGAGTTCATTCACCAGTGACCTGATAAATATTTGCCAGACACCTTTAATTGAGCTTTGTTACTGTTAACTGCTGTTCAGGACAAAGATTCAATATTAAAAGAAATTGTAAGATGTCAGTCCAGCAATGAAAGGTTTCAATGGGCTATTCTTCCTTGGATTTAAGAATATTGTATAGGGGAGAGAATCTGACTAATTGCTACTTAAACTGTATAAAATATCCTGAAATTCCCTCTCTATTTCCTTCCTTCTTTTCTTCTTACCTACAGACTTTATCCAGAGGTTGGGAAGTTAGGGGGCAGACGGAAACAGTCAAGTCTGGGTATTGAAGACATTCTAGTTTTTTTGTTCTCTTCATCCATCTCTCTGCATGAAGGTCTTCATTCCATGCTTACAATTCCCTAAGGAATTATAGTTCCTTTTTGGATGTTTTGCTCTAGAAAACCCATAGCTAAATTTCCAGAAATTCTGTCATAGCTAAAAGAAAGAAAATATATTTTAAAGTTTGTGCTGTGAATTATAAGCTTGCTGTGCTGTAGTTTTCCACTTTGTGAGACAGCCACACAATGTATTTCCCATTAATCTTTGTTAAATAAGCTAGGTATGAGGCTGTACAATAATTGGCTTTGTAATTGCAATCAATGAGCTAATCATTTCTAATTTACAAAAGTTTTTTTCTTAGATGGGGAAACTTGTCTATATTTACATAGTTTACAAATAACTTATAATGGAGTCAATTGTCAAGTATGTTAAAGGATTTACCTTGCCTTGGGAGGGAGTGAGGGATATGGCCTTGTAATATTATTAACTGATAACTTAAAGAGCATCTTCTAAATGAAAAGTTTTATATTTCAGTGAAAATATAGCTATGGAGACAATCATCTAGGATATTATCTTTCAATCAAAACAAGTTATTTTAGATTTACTGTAAGTTAATAAAATATGTACAAACAATTGATAAGGTAAGACATTGGAGACTAAGACAGGTCTATATGCTTCAGTCAAGAAAAAAGGAGGTAGAAAAACCCTTACGAACCTCAGTTTCTTAGGGAAAAGGAGAACACTAGTGTTAAGCTTTCAGGAACATGTTATCTCCCTCAACCTTCTCCATTGTCTTTAGATCACCACAGCCATACACTTTCTGATACTTCATTTTACTTTAATTTTTTAATCAAAGTAACATTGTTTTACATTGTTGTTAGCATTTTCTAAATATCCAGTCTTCTCCCACCTAGGTGCCATCACCATAGTGTACTCACCACCAGACCACCCACTCTTTGTTCTTGCCCCTCCCCTCTTCTAATTGATACCTCAGTTCTGGGGTCAGTATTCAAGGGCTAGTTTTAAGTGTGATTTTATCAGACCCTTTGTTTGGTTTCTCTCTATGCCACATTTAAGTCACACCACTGGTATTTGCTTTTCTCCTTCTGACTTACTTTGCTTAGTGTAATCCCTTTCAGTGCGCTCCAGGTTGCTGCACAACATATGAATTTATCTTTTTGATAACTGAGTAGTATTCCATCACACATATCTATATATCTATATCTATATCTATCATATCTTCTTGATCCACTCATCTGTTTTTGGGCATTCAGGTTGTTTTCCATAGTTTGACTTTTGTAAATAGTGCTGTGGTAAACATGGGACTGTAAGTTTCCTTCGAACTAGTGTTTTTGTGTTCTTTAGGAGAATACCTAGGAGTGGAGTTAAGAGTCATATGGTGGATCCATTTAATTTCTGTACAGCTTTCCATAGGGGCAGGACTAGTCTACATTCCCACCAGCTGTGCCGGAGGGTTCCTATGTCTCCATATCCTTGCCAATACTTGTTTCTGGTCTTTTGATGTTGGGCCATTCTCATAGGTGTGAGGTGATATCTCATTGTGGTTTTTCTTTTCCTTTCCCTGACATTTTAAAAAGACAATTTATTGTATGAACAGTGAAAATAACCTTTTCAGGATTACTACACCATGTAAACTTTGTTCTGATAGCTTCTGTTTAGGCACGTGACTTCTCTAAGAGCTTAATTGCCAAAGTAATAATTTACTTTCTATTGCTTCTGTCAGAACATAGCTCTCCAAACAAGAGCTACTGAAGTATTTTTATTCAAATAGAACTATCTAGTGTAGACCAGTAAACACCTCTGCACAGTTCTGTAAGTTTGAAATGTTTTTTCTGCTAGTTTCAGGTAAATTATCTGCCTTGAGTATTTGTGAAACATTCAAAAGAAGTTTAGGATTAAAGGAACAAGATGTCTCCTAGTGCTCACAGTGCTAAAACTGCAGTTCTAAAGCCATGTGTATTTAAAATAATATTTCCTTATCTGCTAGTTCCTCTAAAATATTCCGAGTGCATTGTTTCCTTTGGTGATACTCTGTTAGAAAATTTATGGTGCTGAAATGGCTGAATTATGCCTCTGCAGTTCTTATCTTATATGCTGGTTTTTCCTCACCATGCTTAGACTTCTCTGAGTATGAAGATCTCTTTCTCAGCACCATGCAGAGCAGGGATCATCTAAACAATTTGCCTTGTCAGGTCCCTCATCATGCCTGATGATATATGCCCAAAAACCAGAAGGTTAAAGGGAAATTTCTTTTAAGGTTATTGTATGACTCTCATTAAAACATTTTCCTTCTAAAGAAAAGATAAAGGAAAGATAGGCATACTTCTTTTCTATGCTTGGGAGGATAGTTCATTTACATATTTATGAAAAATGTTTCCCAAGGATGCATGCTGTATAATTCCTTGTCCCATTTGCAGTTCTTGTATTTGTGTCACATTGTTGTTCTTCAGGTTAGGGTACAGTTTCACTTTTTTAAATGGAAGCTTTATTTTATTTTTTTAATTTTCTAGATATTTCTTTGAGATGTTTCACAATAACTGTTTCCTTTCCCTTTTTATTTTATAGCTTTGAAGAAAGATGACACCACCTTTGATGAGGTAGGTTAAATTTCATTATCTAATGTTAGATGTATTTAGTTACTGCCAGGTAAAGTTAATAGGTGTCAATTTCGCACTTAGAAACAGAAACAAAAGCCTTCCAAAAAAAACCCAAGAGGCTTTTATTTAGTTACATTATATTGTTTGCCAATTTTAATCATCATTCAGGTGAATTGTAGGCGCAATCAGCAGAAATATCTATTTAAAATATAAAAAAATAAATTGAGAGGCCCATGCAGGCTTTGTGTTTTGCCTTTTCCAAAGGTGGTATTGCTGGCAGAGTCCTGTGTGATGTATGTGCTTAGGGCAAGTCTGGAGCTGCTGGTAACTTGGGCACCAGGGCGCCCTTGCAGCTTCCTCTGAATCAGGGTGTGATGCCATGTTGACGCCACTTATTGTCTGTTAGATCCCAAAGGAGGAGCTGACTTTTCCCGTTCTACTTTTCCTATTCTTTGTATATCAGATCTGTCTTTATCTGCTTGCCACTAAGTAGGGGGAAAAAAGCCCTTTCAAGTAAGGGAGAGGAGTCTATATGGAAATAATAGTATTCTGAATGTGATTTTTGAATTGTACTTTTCCCTGAGTTTTTTGTTTTTTTTTTTGGTAATATCGATGAACGTCAGCAGGGAAATGATGTGTTTATAATTTATTCTCTAGGTTGCTGTAGAGTGAAGTGTTTCATTGTCTCCTCAGAAAGCCACAGCAATTGGTCTGTGCTATAAACTTTGCCACGTGTGTGCACACAGTATATATACGTAGCTGTAGGGTGTTCATATAGGAACACAGATGTATCTACACATGTTCATTCTGTGGTCGAATGAAAGCCTAAAGCATAGATTTGTTTGGTTGTACTCATTGCACTTTTGTTTTTTAAAAAGATTTATTTATTTATGCATACAGAACTGGGATACAGGCCAGAGGTGCACGGGTGGTGAGAGGATTCACCAGAGACAGAGTGGGGAGCAGAACACGCCGACTGACTAAGTACATTGCTGAAAGGAGCAGTGGGGAGGGGAGTGCACATGTGCCATGTGGGTCACCTCTGGGGCAGGGATCAAACTCATGCTGAAGTGGCTTTAGCTTCTTAGTGCTGCGCTTCAACCCGCTGTGCCACCAGGGAGGGCCCTGTTGGATTACTTTTAACAGCGTAGATTTCATGCAATAAGCTGCCTATCCTTCCTCTACTGTGAGAAAGGATATTTGTGCTCGTGGAAAGTCCCCTCAGCCATGTGGCTGGCTGTGGTCCAGGGCAGCAACACTCAGGGACAACCTGCTCCAGACTGGGATTTCTGGAGGGGGCCACATCATTTGGCTCTCACGGTCTGCTGCTTCTCTTCTGCACCTGTTCTCTTTTTCTCTGGGCCCAACTCCACTGAGCCTTGTGTCCGCCACTCCAAAGCACTTCCTCTGCCAGCATTCCTGAGACATGCTGTAAAACTCAGTTATTCTAGACCTGAAGCAATAGAGGAATCTTTTTTCTCTCATCTGTGGTAGGCAATAATGATGTTTTCCAAACCTGTATTTCCGGAATTTCTGCAGTATGACTGAGATGTTTGTAGGAGAGTATTTTCTTTTCAGAAGAAATCAATGTGAGAATAGTGAACACCTTCCCTCTATTTATAAGCACAACCTCCCCTCTAATTATGGATGTAATTTCAACTTACATAAAAAAGAAAAATGAGGAAAAAAGCCCAAATCCTATTATTCAAATACAGCCACCCTTGGATGTACTTCTTGCTTCTTTACCTGTGTTTAAAAAGCCAAACAACCAAATTATAGCCCATACATTATGTTCTGCTTTTTTCTCCTAATCTACAACATATTTTCCCATGTTTCCACAGATGAATCCTAATAATCATGAGGAGTTAAATATCATTGCTAATGATTGTATGTTAGTCTGTCATGTGTGTGCAACAGGAGCTTGCAAAAAATATCTTAGGTCATGGCCTAGATGAAAGTTACGGATGTTTGGCCCTCCCTGGTGGCACAGCAGGTTAAAACACAGCATTGGGAAGCTAAAGCCACTTCCGCATGAGTTCTATCCCCACCTGCCCTGGAGGTGACCACATGGCACGGCCGACCTCTCCTGACCCTCCCCCCTCACCCCCTCCGTTCCTCTCAGCAGTGTACTTCGCCGATCTGCCTGTTCTACTCCCCACTCTGTCTCTGTCTCTGGTGAATCCTCTGGTGAATCACCACTGTACCTCTGGCCTGTACCACGAGTTCTGTATGCACAAATAAATCTTTTTTTATTTTTTTTAAAAAAGAAAGTTAAGGATGTTTTTGTCAGGCTTATAGCTATCTGCCCTTTCTTACCACCAAATCTCTGTAATGTCAAAGATCTGAATTTTACAAAGCAATATTCTAATTCTGTGCCATAGAGATTGATTAAATATCTCACCTCAGTAAATCAGAGAATGCTGTATCTGAAACAGACACTGGGAATCATTTGATCCTTCATTATTTCACATGAGACTGCAATAGTGAAGGCATGTAGAACTTAACTTGACTACCTTTTAAGGGCAATTGAATCATTTGTTGCATGCCTTTTGTGAAAATAGACTTAACAATGCATAGAAGTTGGAAGGTTTGGTTTGAAGTTAAAAAGTAGGGCTTTGAGGAAGGTTACATTTATATAGTATTCTAAATTTCCATATAAAGCTTCATGTGATGACTTGCATATTAAAAACTGAAAATATTGTCTGAGACCAACCAAAATTTAGACCCCTTGAGAGGATGACTCTGTTCAGCTTCTTAATTCCCTGAATCTCTTGCATATGGTTAATTTCCAGTAAATATTTTTTTTCTGTAATTTTTTTGAGGTAACATTGGTTTATAACACTGTAACAATGTTTACAACATTGGTTTACAGCTCCTAAATCACTGTGTATGATTTAGGAGAATAGGTCCACACTTCTTCAGATCTTTGTTACCACACCCTGCCCACTCCCAAAGCTCCCCAAGTCCGCCACCATAGTCCATTGGACCCTTTCCTCCCTTAATCTCTCTACCCCCCATTAGCCTTAATTCTCTGGTTGGTTTTGAGTTAGTTTTGTATGTTCCTTTGTCTTTGTCCTGACATTTCTCTTAGCATAATCCTCTCCAGTTCTGTCAGTGTTGTCACAAATGGCAAGATTTCATGTCTTTTTTTATGAGTGAATAGCATTCCAGGCTATAAATATTTTATGAGTAACTATGTGGCAGATAAGGAAAAAGAGTGTTTGAACCAAGGGACAAGACAATATGGGTTCTCATTTTCTACTTCCTAGCGTTTGGGTAAATCATTTAATTTACCCAGGATTCAGTTTTCTCATTTGTAAAATCACTTGGACTATGACCATCAAATTATTCTCCAAATGTAAGATAGATTACATAAAAATCAGGACTACAGTACAGTTTTACCAGAGTCAGAAAAGAGTTCTAGATCTGTGATTATACAAACTGTAAGTAACTGAGTTCAGATTATGTTCAGGTTAGAATAAGTTCAGGTTTATAAGAAGTCTTCTTGAACTCCTGGTCTTCCATTTCTCCTCTCAGGGAGTTGGGGGCTTCTAGGTCCTTTGGAATTCATCTAAGTCTTGAAACCTGGGGCCAGCTTCTTAGATAAGCATTAAGGTGAGGTGTGGCAACTCTCTCCTTATGCAGTTTTTTTGAGCTAAAGGGCTCCTTATCTTAAGGAGTGGCCTCCTCCAGAGTGCCTGGAGCTGGAGTGTAGTTGCTACTCTCTGAGTCCTGTGGAAAATTCCCTATAGTATGTAAGTGTTTGACCTGGAAGGAAGGAGAAAAAGAGTATAGATCTATTTGAAAGCCTTATTTACTTCTAAAGCTGAAGTTCCGTGACTGCTCGTTTTGAAAACTAGTCTGGAATTATTTTCAGGATCTCTGTGCTAATGCTTATTTATAGAGGGAGAATTTGGGGGTTAGCTATTGAGGACTTCAAGTATTTACAGTGATAGGCAATTTTGTTGGAATAGGGAATTTCATTGAAGCGTGTCACATTTGGAGAGCGGATGTTCTAAGGATGATCCTTTTGCTCCACATTGTGTTTGGGTCTTGATTGACATGTGAGGTGTTTTATGTTCAGTGAATTTAATATACATATTTTAAACATATTTTATGTGAATGAATCAGTGATTTATAAGGATATCCCAAATAAAATTTTAATGGCTTTAGTTTGTGCTGCTTTTCCTCTTTGGGGCCCCAGGGCTTGGCACAGTAAATAGTCAAAATGAAGGGGCTAAATAGAGACATAGGATAAACCAGGCTGCAGTATGAAAGAAGGTTGCTATTTTGTGTTATAGTTTTTTTTTTTTAAAGATTTATTTATTTATGTATATAAGAGCTTGGTATAGGCCAAAAATGGGGGAGTAAGAGGATTCACCAGAGACAGAGTGGGGAATAGAACAGGTGGATCTACTGAAATACACTGCTGAGGGTAGCAACAGTGAGACAGGAGAGGTCTGCTGCACCATTGGGTCAGTTCCCTGGTGGGGGATCGAACTCATGTAGCAGTGGCTGCTGATAGCTTCATATTGCTGAGACTTTTACACCACCAGGGAGGCCCTATTTTGTTTTATAGTTTTAAGTGGACACAGTGTTTTTGGTGATACTGTCATGAGCGCCTTCAGAAAGTGTTAACTTCCTATCTATAATACTATTGTACTTAACAAATTTTCCCTCTTTTTTGTACCTCATAAATGCCCTGATCATATCCCCTAATTCTTCCGGGGGCAGAGAACAAATAGTTTGACTGTGATTTAAGTTCAATTTTTGATGTAATGATTTATTATAAAATAATCATACCTATATTATGAAAGAAAAATGCTGTTTTGTAAATATGAAATTATGAGATAAAATTATTATACATAAGCCTGTTTGAGCCTCGGAAATAAGTATAAATTAGGTATAGAAAGAGTTACTCTGATAAACAGACAGGATATTTTATCAAGATGCATTTTTTGCACATATTTTCCAAGCTATAATGGGAAGATGCTAAAGGA